AGGACGCTTAACCAATTGAGCCACCCCAGGTGCCCCCCCTTTTAAAATTAAATAAAATCCAATCAGATTAATATCCCAGGTGGTCGCAGTGGTTCTCTGCTTTCTCTTTATCCTGGCACCTGAGGCCCTCTGCAGCCTGATGCCCACCCCACTTCCTCCCGAAGAGGCCACACCTCCTCTGCCTAGGCCTCTGTTTGCACATAGAAACACTAAATTTCTCCATTTATAGTGTGTTGCCTTCATACCTTGGGTGAGTCTGGAGGGCTCCCTTCTCATGGATACATACAAAAAATTTCACTCATCCAAGGGCACCTGGGTGGCTTAGTCGGTTAAGCGTCCGACTTTCACTCAGGTCATGATCTCGCGGTTCGTGGGTTCGAGCCCCACATTGGGCTCTGTGTGGACTGCCAGCTCAGAGCCTGGAGCCTATTTCAGAGTCTGTGACTCCCTCTCTCTCTGACCCTCCCCTGCTCACGCTGTCTCTCTCTCTCTCCNAGCTCAGAGCCTGGAGCCTATTTCAGAGTCTGTGACTCCCTCTCTCTCTGACCCTCCCCTGCTCACGCTGTCTCTCTCTCTCTCCTAGAAATAAATAAAAATATTTTAAAAAAAATTTCACTCATCCTTCAAAGTCAAGTTCATATACTGCTTCCTCCATTAGCTGGTCCTTGATCCCTTCTACCAAAAGATAATCCCATACCTTCTGAATTTCCAGTGTTTTCTCCCCCATATTCTATATGCATTCCGTATGTAAGAGAAGATGTGATTGACGGGCTTGGCACCAAAGGATATAGGGACGGGCCTGGTACCAAAGAATATGTTGCTTCTATGGCATCTGTTTTCCTGCTTCTGCTCTACCACCTCCGTTTCCCTCTGGGAGACACTCCCTCCCCTGCTCTCAGCCCTTGAGCTCTGGACAAGGCTGATCCCAACCCCAGTCATGAGTCAATGCTAAGTGAGGACTCATCCACCCAGCAGGAGCCCAAGCAGGACTTTTGGGGAGAAAGGGCAGAGAGAGCCTTAGAAGGAGGAGACAGGGCTGGGGAGGAAAAGCTCGCTATCCATGGGGTGTTGAACTGGAAGATGAGATTCTGGGTCCATCAGTGGCCATTTGCCTCTACTAAGGGAGCACTCCCTCAAGAATGGAGCCAACCAGAGGAAGACTGTTCCCAGAGGGAAATTCTTGATGCTGTTTGCACACCTGGATCAAGTCACCCTTGTACTTTTTTTTGCTACTTTAGCCAACAAATCCCCTTTTATGCTTAAGGCAGTTTAAATTAGGTTTCTATTACCGGCAGACAAAAATGGTTTAACTAATACAAGATGCTCAAACAATGTACTGAGTGAATGAATGAATGCATGAGCGAGTATGACTACAAGTCTTTCCCCTCCTACTGAAGGAATCCTCCTTGGGGAGTCCAATCTTACTGTGTTATTTGGGTGGATTTCTTCAAGGAGCGATCCATTGAAACACCGAGTCGATTCATGATCTATAGGCGCCTCCATGTATAAGGCAGAGAAAACCTGAGAAGGAGGAGAAGCCAGACATGTTTCTACCCTCGAGGAGGCAGACATGCATGCTTTCTGTAATGTATTTATTTGTTTGCACTCCCTCCTGCCACCTGCTCCAGAAGGGCAGCCACACTGTCGTGTGCACAGCTGTACTGAACGTCCTTTCCTGGGCTCCTCGGCCACTCGTGTGTCTTCTTCGGAGAAATGTCTGTTTTGCTCTTTTGCTCATTTTTATATTGCATTATCTTTTTATTGTATTATGAGAGTTGTTTATATATTCTGGATCCAGGTCCCTTGTCAGAATGATGATTTGCAAATATTTTATCCCATTCTGTGGGTTACCTTTTCACTTTCTTGATGGTATCATTTGCAGCACAAATTTTTAAAATTTTAGCATATTTTTAAAAAACTGCCTTCTTGAGGTATAATTTGTGTCCCATAAATCTCACCCATCTTAAATGCTGCATTCAGTGATTTTCTAGTAAATTTACAGAGTTACACATCACCATAGCAATTGTCATGATCTAGTTTTCGAACATTGCCATCACTACCCCCCACCCCCCAAAAAAACCTCATGTGGCCATTTGTGGTCCCCTCCTGTTAACACCGTCGGCCCCAGCCAGCCCCTCTGGATGTGCCTGTTTGGGACATGTCATATAAATGGAATCATACAATATGGAGTCTTTCACTTTGGGCTTCTCTCACTTAGATGTTTTTGAGATTTATCCATGTTACAGCATGTATCAGTAGTTTGTTTCTTTTTAATTGCTGATTAGTATGCCACTGCTTATCCATTCACTAGCTGAGTTATTTCTGGGTTGGCGCTATTGTGAAGAATGCTGCTGTGATTCAGTGTAATTGTCTTTAGTAGCTCGGGCTGCTGTAACAGAACACCGTGGTCTGGGCGGCTTAAACAATAGTTATTTCTCACAGTTCCGGAGGCTGGGAAGTCTAAGATCAAGGTGCTGCCTGGTAGATGGCTGCCTGTTCTCTCCCTCCTCATGTGGCAGAGAGAGTGATTTGGCCTCTCCTAAAAATTTTTTTATTGTTTATTTTTGAAGGAAAGAGAGACAGAACATGCGCAGGGGAGGGGCAGAGAGAGACGGAGACCCAGAATCTGAAACGGGCTCCAAGCTCTGAGCTGTCAGCACAGAGCCTGTCGTGGGGCTCAAACTCACGAACCTTGAGATCATGACCTGAGCCGAAGCTGGTCACTTAACTGATGAAGCCACCCAGACATCCGGGCCTCTCTCTTCTTATGAAGACTCTAATCCCATAATAGGGGCCCCACCCTCAAGACCTCATCTAATTACCTCCCAAAGGCACCACTTCCAAACACCACCACATCTGTACAGAGGGCTACAGCATATGGATTTGGGGGGACACAAGCATTCATCCCATAAGAGTAATTATTGATATGACTGGATTTACATTTACCATTTTGATATTTGTTTTTGACTTATCTCATGTCTGGTTCGTTCCTCTGTTTCTCCTTTGCTGACTTCTTTTGTGTTAAATAGATATTCTTCTGGCATACCATTTTAATTTCTTTGTTGGTTTTTAAACTGTGTTATTTTCTTCTTGTTTGTTCTAGGGACAATATGCATTCTTATCACAAGGTTAGAGGATATTTGACATTTTATGTGATGATTTGTGAGTTTGAATAAGTTAATTTATTGTTTAATAAATAATATAATTTAAATATCTCATATTTACATTCAACTTATATTAATGTAAATTATCAGTTATTAAATTAACTTAATAAGTAGTTTGTAAATAATTATTTCTTTAATATTAAGGCATTTGATATGCGGTCTCTGTCTGCACCCCTGGCCGGGATCTTCACATCTTGGGGGCAGACCTACCTTTCTCATATTTGCATGCATGTATTTTTTCACATAGCTATTGTCGTACTATGAGTTATATATTATGAATATTACAATATTTATCCTGCTTTTAATTTTGTGTATTTTTACCTGCTATTTTCTTTTCTTTTTTGTGATGACAAAATTTTTTTTAATGTTTTATTTATTTTTGAGAGAGAGAGAGAGACAGAGTATGAGCAGGGCAGGGGCAGAGAGAGAGGGAGACCCAGAATCTGAAGCAGGCTCCAGGCTCCACGCTGTCAGCACAGAGCCTGACACGGGGCTTGAGCTTGTGAACTGTGAGATCATGACCTGAGCTGAAGTCAGACGCTTAACCAACTGAGCCACCCAGGTGCCCCTACTTTTTGTAATTTTTAAAACATGTTTTTTTATTTTTGAGAGAGAGGCAGAGTGTGAGTGGGGGAGGGGCAGAGAGAGAGGGACACACAGAATCTGAAGCAGGTCCAAGCTCTGTGCTGACAGCCCAGAGCCCCGGGCAGGTCTCCAACTCATGAACCATGAGATCATTACCTGAGGTGAAGTTGGACGCTTAACTGACTGAGCCACCCAGGTGCCCCTTATTTTATTTTTTAAAATAGGCTTCATGCCCAGCACAGAGCCCAATGAGGGGCTTGAACTCATGACCCTGAGATCAAGACCTGAGCTGAGATCAAGAGTCCGACACTTGACTGATCCACCCAGGAGCCGCTCTTTTTTTTTTAAACTTTCCGTTGTATGAGCTCTTTATTAATATGCCCCCCTCAAAACTTTTTAGGAAGGAGGCAGTGTATAAATACATAAAAACAGATAGTAATCTTTTATCTCCCTTATTTGCTGCCAATATTTCTCCCCACTTGCCCCTTTTCATTTTTTTTTAATGCAGAAAATTTACATTTTTCTCTAGTCAAACCTGCTAATCTCTCCTTTGTGATTTTATCAGTGATTTCCAAGTTTAATAAAAGACATTCTCCCTCCGGAGATTTGATAAATGTTTAAATCTCTCCTCCTCTAGTTTTCCTAGGTTATTAAAAAGTATGGAACTCTTTAATCTCTGTAAAATTTCTCTGTAAAGACTCCCTCCGGTCTGAGGAGAGAGATGATTTCGAAGCATAAGTTTCTCAAACTCAGCACTTTCCTTCCCTGGTTTCCCTGCCTGCATTCGTACCTGGGGCTAGCCTGACCACGTCCTGCAGGCTGTTTGTCTGTCTGTCTGGACAGAGGGGACAACAGAATCCAAACTTGCCTCTTGAGCTACACCCACATGCAGAGGACAGCAGGGGGTGGGGGGTGGGGGGAGCAGTGGGAGAACATGCCTCCGAACCCGAGTTTGGCCCCTGGTGGACTCTCAACCTCTCATTCTCCCTCTGCAAAATGGGGCCAAGGGAGCCTGACAGGGCTGCCATGAGAATGACAGGAGATGAAATATAGAAAGTTCTAGAACTCCCCTTGGCCTATTGTGGGTCTCTCAGGGCCCTGCCTTTGCATTGACTTGACTCCTGGGTCCCACCGCGTGACCAAAGGTGTCTCTGAGCCTCCCTCACCACAAAGTGTGGGCAGGCCGAGTGGAGCGTTAAGAGTATTTACTTTTTTAGGTGAGAAAATTGAGGGTTAGAAAGTTTAAATGGAGTGCTTGCTTTGGCAGCGCACAAACTAAAACTGCAACATACAGGGAAGGTTAGCATGGCCCCTGCGTGAGGATGACACGCAAATTCATGGTGTTCCATACAGGTATTTTTAAAGACAGTTTGCATGTCAGAGTGGCAGATGCTCCTGACGCTCTGACACACTGCACCCTCCCGCTCCGCCTGGCCTCGCCGCACCTCGGCTCCTTGGCGTCCTCATATGTGAAATGGAGCTAATTGTCCTCATCGGTCTCACTGCCGAGGGGTTATTTGATGATCAAATGAAAGGCTCTGAAAAAGGCCACGGAAAAATCCAGAGGCAAGGTAGCGTCCCCGTGGGCGGCTCAGTCCATTCCTCCTCCACCCGGACACAGACGGGGCCTTGTGCTGGGTCTGTGAGGTTCCCTGCCTGCCTGCCCCTGCCCCCCCACTCCCCTCAGGAGAACCGCACAGAGACTCTGTGAAGGCCCCTTGTGCCTGCTGCTCGCTGGGCAGAAGGCCCAGGGCTGGGCGGAAGCGCCAGGAAGCAGAGCCTGGAGGTGAGCCGCACTCAGGCCCCACTGTGTTCAGCTTAGAACAGCTTCTGACGTCTCCAAGAGCCACGGTGAGGAGGAACCTGGGGCCACCCAGGTCTCCCCATTTCACAGATGTGGAAGCTCGGGCTCAGAGGAGCAGCAAGTTAGTGGTCACGTCAGAGCTTAGACCAGGGGATCCTGGCTCCCAAGCCCAGTGCACTTTCCCCTTGGCCTCTACTGCTGCAGTGGCCTCCCTGGGAAGGGCTCCTTTGGCCCTTTTGGAAAATTCTTTGCTAATTTGATGACATCTGAGCAAAACTGCATGATGTTGGAGGAGCAGAGCACTTAGACAGGCATGGCAAAGCACTAAGAATGAGATGCCTCCACAGTCGGGAGGGAGTTTCCTGGGAGTAGAAGTTTCCAGAAAAGGAAAGAAGCATTTTGAGCAGGAGCTTGGATTTATTGGAACAGTTTGGAAGAATGTGGGGGCAGTGGCGGGAGGTAGGCAAAGGTAGTGCGGAAATTTGACACCAGCACCCCACCCTGGCATTTTGGCATTTAAAAATAAAGTTGCTTTCTCTATTAGCATTTTTTTTTAAACAGAAGCCATACTGCTCCCACTGAGGTTTGAGAGGCTAGCATTAGCCTGAACGCTGCTGCACATTAGAATCCCCTCAGTGCTTTTAAAATCCCAGTGCCCAGATCAAACCCCAAAACAACCATATGGGAGTCTCTCGGGGGAGGACCCAGACCTCAGTAGTTCTTAAAGCCCCCCAGGTAATTTGAATGAGCTACCAATGTTGCTCAGAGGACCACTGGCCCCTGCATTACTTTGCCATCTGGTTTGTGAATCTAAATACATGAACACAAGGGGCAAATGTGTAACTCTGTTTGCCACGCACACTTGTCCAGGCCTTCTTCTCAGGAAGACCACCAAGAGAAATGTCATTCCTCTTCCCCACTCCCACACCCTCCCCCCAGTTCAATTGCACTGGATAGGGTAGGGCCCACCTCCTCTAAGAGATGGTCCCAAATCAGGATTATTTATTTCCTCTATTGAGTTATACTGTGCTTCTGATTTGACTGGGGACTCTGGGCCAGCCTGCAGATCTTCCCTGTGGCTTTACCTGACATGGGCTGTCATGTCTGTTATCAGCCATGTGCATGTTCTCTGCCCAACGAGATGGCAAACCTTCTGAGGGCAAGACCCCCATCCTTCCCAGAAGCCCTGGGCTTCCCAGGAGCCTTCTATTAAGACTTGTCCACAAGCTGAATGAATTCACTGGATCCATTTGGGTTATACTCAACACATTTTTAAAAAAATTTTTTAGAGAGTGAGAGGGTACAAGTGGGGAAGGGGGGCAGAGGGAAAGAGAGAGAGAGAAAGAGAGAGAGGAAGAGGGAATCCAAAGCAGGCTCCATGCTCAGTGTGGGAGCCCAACTCAGGGCTCTATCCCATGACCCTAGGATCATGGCCTGCGGCAAAATCAAGAGTCAGACCCTTAACCAACTGAGCCATGCAGGAGCCCCTATACTCAACACATTTAATTCTGACAATGACCCTGGGAAATTGGGACTGTGTTATTATTACTTTTAGTCTCCATTTTATGATGAAATGAATCTCAGCTCAAAAGTTTGTGTAAGGTCACAGACTGAGGAAGTGGCCACACACCAGGCCCAGTATGCTTCCTTCCCCACCACACAGGTTTCTGCTACCATTAGAGGCGCCCCCAGAGCAGGCAGGACCTTGTTGGGGACCATGCCGGAGGCCTCTTTCCCCTGGAGTCCTCTCTCTGACTGGGAAGTCAGGAAGGCTGTCTGTGAAGGACTGTTTGGTCTCCAGGTCCTCAGTTCTGAGGAGGGGGTGGAACAGGGTGGAAGTTTCTGCTAAGATCTCAGGATGATGGGTAGCAGTTCTCATAGTCACTGGAGCAAAAGACAAATTTTATAAGGAAACATCTTAAAACTTGTTTTACAAATCTTACAGCCTTTTTTTGTGTGTGTGTGTGTGGCTGGGGGGTCAGTTTATTGGAAGTTAATGGGAAGATGCTGGGGAGAGGATTTATTTATTTATTTTTTAATGTTTATTTTTGAGACGGGGGAAGAGGCAGAGAGAGAGAAGGGGCCTGAGGATCTGAAGTGGGCTCCCTGCTATCTGCACCGAGGGGCTCAAACCCACAAACCGTGAGGTCATGACCTGAGCCAAAGTCAGATGCTTAACCGACTGAGCCACCCAGGTGTCCTAGGATTTATTTATTGAATGCCCTCTGTGAGGTGCCTGTCTCTTGCATCAGGAAGCCTTAGAGGGGGCTTCATCAGAGCTTCTCGGGGAGATGCGTATGGGATCCCTGCACTATGGGGTGGCCGACTGGCCCATGACTCTCACCCGAGAAACCCCAAGGGCTAGAGATGGTTGGTCAGCTGCTCAGTAAACAAACCAAAGGAGAGGCTGCTGTGCTGAGATCAGCCAGAAGTTCCTGAGTCTTCTGGGAGAACGGAGGCACGAATATATCCCAGGGAACAGAGCAGAGAGGGTCTGTTGGGAGTTGAATTGTGTTCCAGGACCCAGAAGTGATAGCCGGTGTGGCCGAACCAGGGGCAGGGCCACAGGGAAATAAATGCAGCCCCAGGTGGGTACAGGGGTCAGGGAGAGGACTCCCGAGGCTGGCCCCGCCTCTGGGCCTCTGTCCTGTCCCCGGACTGTGGAGCCTGGCATTCAGGGTGGTTCTGTGCCCCAGGGAAGCCTCGCCCGGTCCTGTCAGTCCTCCTGGTGACTGTGCGCACAGCAGTCCCCTCTCTTGCACTGCATCGTAACTGGTTAACTGACCATCTCTCCTCCAAGAGGGCGGGCGTGTTTTGTCCGCACGGCTCAGTTCAGTGGGGTGCAGTTTTCTGGGTTTAGGTAGCATAAAGCTTGGCGAACTTTTTCTTAAAAGGCCAGATGAAAATGCTGTCAGCTTTGCAGAGCCATACGGTGTCTACTGCAACACTCCAACTCTGCTGTCGTGGTGTGAAAGCGGCCAAGACCAGACATAAAGGAAGGAGTGTCCTTGTGTCCTACAATAACGCTTTATGTACAGAAATAGGCCGCGGGCCGGAGGGCTGTGGTCTGCTAGCCCTGGACCCAGAGAGGGGGAGGGTGGTTCTCATGGACGAAATCACACGTGAGCAAAAGCGAAACTTGCGTTAGGCTCACACTGTTCCCTAATACCCCAGTCACATGGGAACACATTTGTATTTTCAGAATGAGCGTTAAGGCAGAATGGACTGAACGACGGGGCTGTTATGGGTGAGTGGACTGTTGTGTGTAAAACTTTCACTAAGCCATTGACGGGCCCGTGAGCAATAGATGGTAGCGATCATTATTAGCTGTGATAGACTGTTGTGGTTGGGATCACAATGCATTCTGGGTGTCATGTGCTTAGTTAGAACAGTGCTCGAAACTTCATTAATTTTACTGTTTTCATTAAATCTAAGACCTACTTTTAAAAATTATGGTAAAATACACCTCAAATAAGATTTTCCATTTTAGTCATTTTTTAAAGATAGAACTGGGATTGATTTAATTTTTTTAATGTTTATTTACTTATTTTTTTTAGAGAGAGAGATACTATGGGAAGGGCAGAGAGACGGGGAGATGGAGAATCCCAAGCAGGCTCCACAGCTGCCAGTGCAGAGCCCGATGCAGGGCTCGTACCCATGAACCATGAGATCATGACCTGAGCTGAAACCAAAAGTTGGACACTTAACTGGCTGAGTCATCCAGGAGCACCTTAGTCATTTTTTAATGTACAGTCCGGTGGCATATAGCACACAGTGTGTGCAGCCATAAACATTATCCAGTTCTGGAACATTTTCATCATGCTGAAAGGAAACCTTGCACGTACTGAGCAGTCAGTCCCCAGTCCTCTCTCCTCCAGGACCTGGAAGGCATACTTCTATCTATTTATTTTTTCCTTCACGTCTTCACGTCCAAGACCAAGCTGTGCTTACAGTCATATGTCATGATCACTGCTTCCCAGGTGGCAGTCCCACACTGGCGTCACTGAGTGCATGAGCAGAAACTTGACCATAGCTCTTTAGTAAAGTTTTGTGCATTCTTGGGTATTTTATTTGAGTTTAACTGCCATCCAAACCGCCTTCGAGGATGCTATGATTCAGCAGAGAAATGAAAAGTTGTTTGAGTATGAAGAAAGATACAACATAGAGTGGCAGGGCATAAATTAGATTTTAATGAAGCAAATATTCATCATCAGAGGAATAACCACAGTCTTCCAAAGCAACAACCAAGTGTGTTATGGGGGAGGAAAGGAAGATACCAGTGGATAAAGCTGTGCTATATTTTGTTACTGAGATATGTCTAAAAGATGGTCTGTCACAAAGGAAGCAAGGCAAGTGGAGCCTGGAGAAATTGTGAAATCCCTTGGAATAGATAATAAAAAATTTCCAAGTAATGAGAGGTTGGTGTGACTGGTTCATGTGTCACATGGGACTATTATTAAGACATCATGTCTCAGTTTAATGGCAGTATTATTTTTCTTCATGGTACATAAAAAACAGTGTATCGTACAAGTGATCGCATCTTAAAATAATGA